GGCTTCATTTGAGGGGAAGGCGTCTTTATTTACTCTAACAGAGGTTCTGATCGTTGCCCGGACTGGTCCCTGTAATTGGCATCCGCATCAGTTAGTGGTCCACCTCGGCTGTGTTTACTGGACGTGGGCTGGCGATGGTAGCAAGGAAATTCCTACTCCGCAATCAAGGGAAGACATTTCGTCTGATTGTCTTACGTTCGTAAGTCTTAGCTTGACCTTTGGGATGATTTTTGTAAAAGTGAGTGTAGGGCCAACTGCTTAGTGTGCATTGATGCTACCTGGTAATCGTCGATGGTCTCATTCATATATGATTGAGATGTGTGTCTTTAGGATTTGAATAGCATGTGATTTCATTAGGCGTTGCTTTGACTACATTTCGAGGAGACTCTGACGTAGATAGGCGACAAGTGCGTGTCACACGAGTCTCCACACTTGCTGATACATAGAACTTCCGATTTGTTGCATTGAGTTTGAGACAAATATTGAAGGATGTAGTTGCAGCAGTAGTAGTAGTAGTAGTAGTAGTAGTAGTGTAAGTGGTGGTGGTAGTAGTAGTAGTAGTAGTAGCGGGTGAGTGAGTGAATGCAATTTTAAGCCACGTCGGCAATATTTCAGCCATAGCGTGACAGTAGTAGTTGTAGTAGTAGTAGTAGTAGTAGTAGTAGTTGCTGTTGTTGTTGTGACAGTAACAGTATAAGTAGTGGTAGTAGTAGAATAGTAGTGATAGTAATGGTGTTGTAGTTATAGTAGTGGTAGTAGCAGTAGTAGTGGTGGTGTTGGTACAGTGGTCGAAGTCTTCGCCAAACGCTGTGCCGAGCTGCAACCCTAAGCCGTGCTAAAATCAGCTGATAGTGGGATAGAATACCAGATCCGATTATGACCCTTGGTTTGCAACCACTTTACATGTTCTTAGGATTTCTTACCAAGCTTTACGAAAGCTAGCAAGCTTCAACGCCAGTTACACGGTTTCACAGAAACTTAACCGCCGAGCGAAAAGAGGTACACAACCATGTTTGACGTGGCTAAAATGAAACCAACAAGAAATGATTATTCTAATGTGATGTGTTTAACGTACAGTGTTTCGGCGGCTGTGTTCAAACTAGTAACGTTTTGATACGTTTGTAGTTTTGGGGCCAAATCCAATGTTCAAGGGATACTTAATATATATGATAATATTATAAAAAATATCCGCTATTTTATTTATCAAAGCAACCTGTGTAAAAAAATAAGAAAACTACGCGACAGCATGGGCGGATACAGCTTTTTTTGTAAAAAGGGGGGATGCACAATTAAGATCTATTTATTGTCTTTGGTGGTAATTTATACAGAAATATAGATTTTTTTCGAAATGCAAATTAACGCCCCCCACCCCTCTGTATCCGCCCATGGACAGTGTACATTTATTTACGCCAGTAAATGTCAATGCATATGTCCCCGGGGAGTTTCAGTTTTCGGTGTCTCAAAACTTTACAATGCGATTTACGCGGTAATTTGGAGTGAAGGAAACCTTCATCAAACGATACAACGTCCGAAGATCATCCACTTGTTCTCTGTGTTACCATCAATATCCTCTCTACATGAAACATGGATATAAAGAGACGAGGTGTCAAACCTCATCAAAAAAATTCAAATATAGGCAATAAGATTATGCTTTGGACAAAATTCTGAAATGTATTTTGCCAGTGTCTACTCTCATGGATTTAGCACGTGGGGTATGAAAGGTCATGTGACTAATTTCTCGAAGGCAATTGGTCGTTGGTAATTGAAAATCAATCGTAAATTCATTATCTGTTCTGTCGATCTTGCCAAACACTAGGGACAATTGATGACTCAATTAGCGCTGTCTGTTCCATCGGTAATTTTCCACACAAAAATAATCAAAAATACCCCCCACGTCACAGTAGGTCTGTTTCCCTTAAGAAAGCCGCCTATACACCTCAGAACAGAGACGACCAGCGAGGTCCCATAAATAATGTCACGTTAATTTACATGAATACATCTAAACGCATTGCTATATCAACAGGCGTCTCGCAAGCTCTTTGCAAAGTCTTTTGAACCCAGATGGAGCCTCAAGAACTTGTTCTGTCGTCGGAAATAGTAGGGCAAATTGGGTGCAAGATTACAACACACACCAGGGGAGTCCAATTGACGACCGTGTGGAAATACAAGCCACGGTGATCAATTGGTCCGGCAGCCATGTGTTCATATTTGTAAAAGCTTATATTGAAATAGTGAGACTTACAATGTACTGGAACCTTCTAACTGTGGTTCTACATTCTTACACCATAACCGATTTATGTTACATACTTGATTTTCCATATACGGCATATGATCTATTAGAAAATGGTATGTATATTTTTGAATATCTCTTTCTCTATTCAAAATAAGTACAGAATAAACCCATAATCTGGATGGTAGGATTCCCCGTTAAATCGTCCGGATTAATGATTGTTAGCCTGATAGCATTATCGAAGCAAGTGACTGGAGGACTTTTCGGTCTATCATTAGATGCTCCAAACGCAATATACACGATTTCAGGAACCATATTAACTCAACTGCTGAGCAAACAGAGGTTAACAACCATGTTTGATGGTGGCTAAAAACGAAACAAAACAAGAAATGTTTTTTCGATTGTGATGTATTTGATACGGGCATCAATATGTACATAGGGACCACCTTTAAGTTGCATATTTCATAGGCTGATAATAATAATTCGTGAATAAACTGGCGTAAAGACGCCGCGTGTTTAATGCCATGACGTTTCATTCTTATGTCGGTGGTAGGGCGAACGTTTGCAAATGTGGATAATGCATCCAAAATGAGTATTGGGCTTACAAACAAAGGATTATACTTAGTCTAGTATAAGTGTCTTAAGGTATTGTGCATAATGTGGTGACGGTGAGTTAGTGAGTGAGCAATATTCCAGCAAATTCTCGGTTCAAGATACCAGAAACGAGATCCACAATATCTCCATGCAGGGAATCGATCTCGATGTGACGAGCGAACGCTTTAATCGCGAAGCTACCCGCCTGACCAAAATATTGATGGATCAATGGTGAAGAAAATACTTTCTCATAAAGAAGCATTGCATTGCTGCCGCTGTTAGTGATTGGACACATGTGTCCATGTCATCACACCTAGCTGATAACATACTACAGTTGGAAAGTCACTTATTATGTAGTATTCACAAACATGACTGAATTACAAGAGGGATGACTTCACCCTTTTGATAGTCAACATTCCACAAGCTGCCCAAAGGTTGTTTGCTGAAGGTAAGAGCATTCAAGGTCTCAGTAAAGCTTTCAAAACGTTTTATCGTAGACATGTGAAGGATGCTTCCAAACTTTGACGCATCAGTGACTAAAATGTCCGATGCAATTCCCAATTTGTACCGTGTGTTCCCGTGTTTGTTCGTACAGTTGACTCTTTTAGAAGGGATTTCTGATGACTATGGAAAGTGTTTTGTCGCTTTTATTTATTCGAACATTCCTCCTGGTGATGGACAGCAGTGTTAATATATGTCTAGGTATGGATGTATGTAGCAGAAACCGTAGATTGTAACTTACATGCTTTACAGATGTTACGGGTGCTTCCAGTAGTGCTAATATCGCACTTGGGAAGGCATTTTCACGTGACGAACCATCTAAAATTACCATTATTATACTTAAAAACAATACTGTTGATTTCTCCGAGTCCGCTATGAATGTTACGTCAAGTAAATATCATTCGGGCATAATTATGCTTTTATTCCGAAACATCAACATTCATATTGTCAAGGCGAGATCTGCATAGATACAAATCTAACACAGTACTTTTCATTGGACCAACTCCACCTAACAAGGTCATGTGAAAATAATAATTATTTTCAGCAGTTTAGGAAACGTATCCGGTCTTGATAAAATCAAGATAAATGAAACGCCTTTCGTGTATTTGATGATGCATAGATATCACACGTTTATAATGGATGTGCACATTACGCCAATATGTCAGTCGCGCATCAATAACATCGTAACTGCATGTCCGACAGATGCATGATCACAATAACATTAATTTTCTTATTACTGAGTCATGTAACTGTAATTTACACTGGACGTCGTGATATGCAACAAAGATAATGTCCCTTGGGTGAATGTGTGAGTCACACATAACGCCACTTTGAACAGTATTACAGTCATATCACAACGTGTCAGCTTTGTGTGTGAGGAAACCGCGAATCGATACAAGTGATGCAAAGCTTGAGATATAATCAGAGCGTAAAGGGATTCGAACCAATGATCAGTGGTTCTGGTATGCCTAACGGACGCATCTCTGCACAGCGAATTGGGGTGCCTAACATGACTGTGCCAAATTGAATCCTGCCAACAAAGCACTGTAGCGGGCACCATGCAAGCCCTGTACTTCAAAACCACAAGCTCGATAATATCATAATGGAAGACTGTATGCACTGGCACCAAAAGCATCTCAAATATCAGCGTCAGTCAACAATCAACTTTGCATTGCCGCGAGGCAAAAGAAACATCTGCAGATATTATCAAGGGCGTCCTTCAGCGATATCGTCGCCATTATTCCAACAGCAATCGTATATCGTAAATATTGGGATGCAAAAAGTCGGTTTTCCATATTTATTCACACCTCAGCTTTTCTTATGAGTGATATATATTTTGCATAATTGTACAATGTACATAAAAGAGTTTGACAGGATGAAGCTGCAGAATTGCGGCAATAAAAGTACACAGATGCCAAAAAATGTCATATTTGAAGAAAGATATGAAATGTCGGGTGATTCAATTCTATGAATTTGACATAGATTTATTCATCTTGTATTCAGTGACAATACTTTGTGTAAGATTTATACACTGATGTGGAGGGTGTGGGGGCATGTGTGAGGTGTGTGTGTTCTTACGCTGTGTTCAGCTAATAATAATAGAATAATAATCAGACATACCAAAAGTATCAAACAAAACTTGTAAAACTTTTACAATAAAGGTTGATTTATCTACCTTTCTCGTGGTGGTTTATGTCCCAGCATAACACGATCTGTAACAAAATATACGAACGTTTAATCAAAGCTTGTGAGTTAATATCGTAGTTATATGGAAATTATATCATGGTAACCTGTGAATTACAGCGACAAAAAACACTTCCATAATCCTTAGAAATTCCGACTAAATAATAAGCATGTTTTTATGAATTACTGTCAAATGATGATACCAAGTGTTCACTAAAAGGTGAGAGCATTACCGTCATAAAAACACGCACGTCAAGTTTATTGTTCACCTTAAAAACACGGTTACCCATGGTGCAAGTCAAAATAGAGAATTGCATTTGACTGAATATTCAAGATGATGAAGCAGACAAATTAGTGGTCGATGAGCACGATGGTCACACATGGAAAAGTTGTTGAATTACACACACCCTTTGTGACTGCCCATTCCCCTTCAGGTTTTAATATTTGTCAAGTTCCCTCACAACACATCACTGCATATTTAGCTTCTCCGTGAGTACATGTCTGCGAAAAAAGGGGATACCTGATCAGTGATCTAAGATGTGAGCACGTTGGATTTAAAGCCACTTACAGTATTCCAGAGAGCGAGCACACGCTAGCACGGGTATGATGCCGACAAACCAAAGAACATTATTGAACAAAAAACAAGTGGGCCCTGGAACGACTTAGTCAAGTTGTAAGGTCTGAAACCCGCGCCCTCTAAGACCGAGCTAGTGGAAGTTTCGAAATGAGCATACTATTATTTGATGCAAGTTGGATTCTAAGTTGTTTTTTCAAGTTTTCAAAATAATTATGAAGACGATATTTACTTTCGGGGTTATTCATGTTCTTTCGAAATTAAAACCCCACATTGCTGGAACGTCACGAGACAAGATCATTCGAAGTACAATTATTCCAAAATACAAGTACGTAAGTGGTTGCTGGACGGGAGATTCTTTGATACATGCTTTGCATCAAAGTTTTCTTGTCCTTCTTAAAATGCAAATACGATTTAACCAAATATCGGAATCACGACCTGCGATCTATAAAATTCATTTTAATTTTAACAATTAAGGTTTTGATACTGAAGAACTACACGTACATGTATGTTGTTTTATAAGTATTGCGACGTTTTGAACAAGTGCAACAAAGAGCAATCATGGTCTCGTATTTAATGCTAAAATTTAATGATCCATCTTGTTTAACTTTAACAACATTAAAATCATAATGGTGCTCTCAAAGCATACACCAAAAGGGCCACAAGAAGAGAGGAACCTGTTGAACGTCTTCAAGAGTGGGTTAAGTCATTGCGTGATTTTGTCATTGATAGAGTGCACAAACTGAAATAGAGGAAACAGAATTAGAAAATCCCAATTCTGTCCCAGTCAGCTGTCATCCAGTCTGGCAACCCCACAAGAAACGTTTGTAGTTGTCCCACTGACAAGGCCTCAAATAGCATAACCAATGCATTGATTGTTTGATCAAAGAACTTGGTATAAGTGACATATCGCATAATGCCACATGTAAGGTCAGTATGTTAACTAAGGAAGAAATCTGCCCAAACCACCAATCAGTACAAACAACTTTTGGTTTGACTCTAAAACCTGAAGCTGTGTCCATTTCCATCATACAAAGAGTGATATATTGCTGGGTCAAGCAAATGAACCACCAAATATTTCTATATAATCACAGAAAGTATTTGAGACAAGTGGAATTAATAGCACAATGTCATGGTCTCAAAAACTCAAAGGATTTTCTAGACTTTTTACAATCTTAGGAAAGAACCACGTTCAGGTCTGTCAAAACATTTGATTTATCAACTTTTTACACTTGGGAGAAAACTTCATTCCTTGATCCATGAGGCTTTTGTGACAAAACGTGGTGATCATAGATACAGTTATGTATTTAGTGGTCAGGGCAATTTGTCATAGATTAAAGCAAATGACATCTGAAGTTTAATGAGTAAACTTTATGTGAAAGGTTGGACTTCCTCGTCGAAGACATCTATGTAAACTTTGGAGAAAGACATTTCGGCAACAAGTGGGCATCCCCATGGACACAAATTATGCTCCCCTTCTTGCTGATATGTTTCTGTTTGCATATGAATGCATCGGAATGGCAAAGTCAAAACAAGGTGATTTGGCCAAGAAGTTTAACGTAAGCTACAGGTATATCGATGATTTGATATAGTGCAATAACCATCAAACGGCCAATTCTCTTCCACTGATTTCCCCACCTGACCTAGAAATAAAGAAGACCAGTGCGACTGCCTCGTCTGTTTCATATTTAGATCTATGCATAAAGATTCAGAGTGACAAAACAGTCTCCGCATGACTATATGACAAGAGGGATGACTTCAACTTTCCAAAAGTCAACTTTCCCTTCATGTCTAGCAATATTCCTGCAGCTTAAAAGACGTGATGTGACTTTTGCTGAGAAGTTGTTTAATCAAGGTTACACCGTCCAAGGCCTCGATAAAGCTGTTAATAAGATATATGGTACATGTCGACATGTGGAGAACATTTCCAAATTTGACTTAAAGGACGTGATGTGTCTTTTGCTGAGAAGTTGTTTGATCAAGGTTACACCGTCCAAGGCCTCAGTAAAGCTGTCAATAAGATATATGGTACATGTCGACATGTAGAGAACATTCCCAAATTTGACTCATCCGTGACAAAAAATGTCCGATGCCTGATGCTGTTCCTTATTTTGACTTGAACCATATGTTCCCGTGTCTTTTTCAGGTGAACAATTGGACTTTGCATGTGTTTGTGATGGGGGTCACGGGTGGAGCAGGATACGCTCGACTTTTCGCGAACATCTGAACACATTATCATCACTCTTTGATTGTGAATCAGAAACACATGCTCGTGAAACACATAGTTGGAATCGTATAATCGACTCTGCTTTTGGCAGAGATTTTCAAATTAATATGGAACGGATGTTGTCGCTTGTATTCAAATGAACTAGGTACATCTATACCTTCACATGCACATGTCCCTGGACCTTTTCCGGGGTCTAGTGGATAGAGCATCTGCCTGATGACCGTAGGGTATGTGGTTGTTCCCTGACCGCGTTATACCAAAAGACGTTGAAAGATGGTAGTTGTTGATTCCTGCCTCGCGTTTCGCATGAAGGGGATATCAAGGACTGGTCGGCTATATACAGTCAATATACTGTGTCTGAGCGGTGTCCATGTTAAATTGCGGCATGGTATCTCAGTAGACTTGTATATATGATATAAGTGCAGAAATCTTGAACGTGATCTTAAACCCCATTCCACCCCACCTCACCTGAAAATTGCCAAATACGACAGACAGGCACCATGTATAGCAAAAATCTGGCGACGCTTGCGCTAACAAAAACCGTTTTCAACAAAAACATCTAAGGAGCACACAATACTAAACGAACAAATGGATAACAAAACAAAAATGTTAATTACCAGAATGGTAACACAGATAATATATCAATGCATCCGATCGTGACATGTTGGTTGGTTGGTTGGTTGGTTGGTTGTTTAACGCCGCACTCAGCAATATTCCAGCTATATGACGGCGGTCTGTAAATAATCGAGTCTGGACCAGACAATGCAGTGATTGATATCATGAACATTGATTAAAGCAATTGGGATCGATGACATGTATCAGCCAAGTCAGCGAGCCTGACCACCCGATCCCGTTAGTCGCCTTTTACGGCAAGCATGGGTTGCTGAAGACCTATTCTACCCCGGAATCTTCACGGGTCCCGTGACATGTTAATGTGAGTTACAGGCCTAATCAAACTGGAAGTCCTAGCAAGTTTGATTCATGTCGTTCTAATACCACATTGGTTGTATATTTTGTGACGTATATACACGTAAACGTAACAGTTAAATGTTCCCTCATTACAAAGAAACAATGTCTCAGCTTGAATCATGGATTCAACTTCAATGTCTAGTACCTGACACGACAACCTAAGAAGCTCTGTATCCCTTTAAAAGGTATTATCAAACCAACCGTGCGGTGTAGAATATCGCATCACAAGACAAAACCAATTTGAAAATATAATCATATATATGGATAATCTGACAGTATCCATAGGTACTGCCCGAAGGATGATACAATGGTGTGATACCATTGGCGTACAATAGAAGAGCGGAATGATCTTCCTGGTCACAAGGTCACATACCACAGCCAGCAACGTCATAAGTGTGGAGGCAACGGAAACTGACAATTCAGACAGGTTGCTTACAACGTGGCAGGGGGTCAAAGAACAGAGTCCTCTGGCTTATCCTCGCTACAAACATCCAACTTGTATGTTCTCAAAAAAAACTATTGTTTGAAATTTGGTTTCAAATGGCATTCAAATAAGGTCAGAGTTGCTGCGAACAAAACGTGCTTCGGGGCAGGATAGCGACAGGGGGACTACAAACGCTTCAAGGAGCTGTTCTGTTGTGACAGTCACGGCAGCTGATTGGTTGGCGATGTCACTGTGTGGAGACATGGGGGGGAAGGGGAGAACGTACAGATAACAGGACATAACAAGAGATGCAAGGAAATGATCTCAAGACGGTGGAAAATGAGTATTTGAGAAACGTTTACTGCTCCTCAAACTTTAATGTATTTAATCCTGAGAGAAACTTGTCAACTGATAACGCGGTACTTGTGAGATTGTGACGTTTGGAGTTGCTTTTCCCTTTTGAAAAAAAGTTTGAAACTTTCGTTTGCGAAATAGTGGCACAGCATGAAATGAAGTTCGTTGGAGAAAGATGCACATACGTATTTTGATTTATTCCGTTTACAATATTCTGTCCCAAAGATGTTTCAAGTCTGACAATAATGAATAAAAGAGACAAAAGCCTTTCCACTGTCTTATGAAATCTCTGTGGTACAAGCCAAAACAGGTAATTGCATCGGATATTATTTTTTGTCACTGATGGGCCACATTTGGAAATGTCCTCATGTTTACCATTAACACTTTTTTTTGCGAGTAAGTGTGTTCGATTTATGGCCGCTCTGAACATTATTAATACTCTGCAGAGTTTTATTGAAACGAATGCTGATACATCGAGATT